GCAGAAGGATTCTCAAATCGTACACGTCAAAGGTAAAACGATATTTCAGGCAGGCAAGTCAACTTTTTGTTTGAATTTCTCTCTTTGGCTCTTCTCCGCATGCCTGGGAAGCACCTCATCTACCAACCTGAAAGCTGGCAAACAGGCCCCCCCCCCGGGCTCGCGAGTGCCCACTACCTTCGAGGACTCTTCCAAGCTAGCTATTAGATTTCGCCATAGCGTCATCGCTCTCCTCGATCTAGAACAGCTTCTGGTTCCTAGACCTTTCCACAATGTTCTTTCCTTTGGTGTCCCGGTCCGTTAATTCACATCAGCAGCACCAGATATGCCAGTCGAGGAGGTCGAGTGGGATCATTATTTCAGTTGCATGCGAGCTTTTTTTGTTTCAACAGAGTCGTCAGGTTCATGTTGATTATTGTCTTCTTGGTTTGTTTGAACGTGTGCGAGTTTGCTTTGAGCGCCTATCTGGTGGTCGTCAAGAGTCCTTGTAGATACAAGTGACTGTCGTGGTCCGGCCACTATTAATCGCGCTTCCTCTTTCGTCTTCGACATATGTTGGCGTCCTGTACTTGAAAGAAATCGCCGTAGAGGTACCCTTGATTATCCCCTCCTAGAAAAAAAAAGAATGAAAATAGCAAACAAACCAAGATGCGTATGAGTCTTCTAGTCGTACAAAGCCGCGTCCGCCTGCCAACATGCTTCTCCTCCTCCTCCTGCCCATTCCGTCAACACAGAATCAACAAAAACAAAAACCACTAAATCCTCACTTCCGCTTTCCACATCAGTACGCCGTTCCTAGGATGATGCATGCTATATCAATGCGTTTTTCAGCCAATGTCCCGGACGCCATCTGCATGTTTTATAGAACAAAGAGATGGGCCGAATCCGCCCAAGGTTTTGTGGTATCAAAAAGCTCTGATTGGCAAATGACTCCGGTCCACCTCCGTCCTGTCCCGAGTATATAACAAATGGAAGCCGGCAATATAAAAAAAATGGCAAAAAAACAAAATCAGCGAGAAGTCTGGGTGTTACTGTCCAGACCATGGTGAGCTTGCATGATGACTGTCATGCGTTCTGGTGTTGGTGTCCAGTCGGGTTAAGTTGTCAAGATTGCGCCACTAGTCGTGAAATGCTCCAATATCTCAGTTCAGAATGCCATCCCATATGCCAGGTCCTCGCAGACTGATGGCGGGGTGAACGCTAGCAGTCTGATAGCCCGTGGCAGCTTCTGCAGAGCAGCACACTCGCTTTGCATTGCGTCCAAAGGTGGGGTGGGCAGGAACATGCAGGTACGACTCCGAAGCGATGCCACGGGAGCGCACCAGGGTGTCGGGCCATGATGATTCAGGAGACTCAAAGTGGCAGCTAAGGATACCGCGAACATTTTCCTGCAGGGAATCGTCAATGGAAGGCGCACGGCTTCGCTTAGAGCCAACCTTGGCCGTGGGTGTAGCGTCCGCAGACACATCGTGGTTGTGAAGATCCTGTAAAGCCCTTGCAGCATCCGATGCAGGATCACGGGCCATCTCGTCGAGCTCTCGCTCGCGTCTTGCCAGAGGAGTGTCGAGACATAGATCACCGAGCTTGGCAGTCTCTGGGTCAATGTAGGACTCGGGCGAGGAGGCCAGGCAGTGCTCATCATAATCCTCGGGAACGGAGGGGACAGATGGTTTCGAGCTCACCCGGTCATTCCAGAGCTTCGCAGCCCGGAATCGCGACGGCACACTGCAACGGCTAGTGCTGTTGTAGAGGGTCGCGCTAGCGAGGCTAGAAGCAGAGGAGATGGACGAGGAGCGGGAGGATCGTGAAGAATCCGAAACCATGGACTCGGGGGACGAGGCGGTGGACACCGAGTTGGCGAGAGACGATCGACGAGCTGGGCAGTACCCCTGCGGCGAGGAAGTAACAGAGTAGGGGAAGCGATCGAGAGTTGTCTGTGCGGTACTGACGGTATTGGCGTGCGCCATGGCAAGGCCCATTGCGTTGCCTTTTCCGAGAAGTTGGGATGCAACACTCACTGCAGGAGTGCAGAATCCGCTGGTCTGCGGAGTAAGGCGTGGAGTGGGCAAAAGAGTCAGGGCTGGTGCCAATCGACCAGGAGTGTACACACTGCTGGATGAGGGCTCCCTGACGGCCGGTGTGTTGGACATATTTGGGGTCGGAGTAACATTGAGGCTGTCAAGAGCAGCTGGGCTACGAGCCTCCTGAGGGAGGTTGAGGATACTTCGCGGAGAGAGAGCACACAAGTCGCTAGCCGTGGCGCTGGCAGGAGTGGTGGGAATGAGGCCATCAATGTTGGCGAGCTCGGGCTCAAGTCTCAAAATGAGCTGCTTCCAGTCGGCGGACTGCTGAGCATATGCATGGGAGCCGGCGCCGGGTGAAGGCGGTGACGGAGGCGGCGTGTACTTGAGGACAATCTCGGTCCAGCGCTGGAAAATCTCATCCGTGATGTGCAATTGCCAGTTGACAGCAAGAAGAAATGCAATCTCATTCTGATTGATCTCTTGGGTGTTCAGCCCAGAAATCTTGCTCCAAGCACGAGCCGAGTAGTTGCGGTCCTGGAGATACTTTGAGGCAAGAATGAGAGCTGCAAGGAACATGCGACGGCCACACTGCAGAGCACGATCCACATGTCTATCGTCAGGCTGCTCGGTAGTAAAGTTGTGCTTCGGGACGTGAGGCTTGATAAGAATAAGGTAATACAGGGCTACTTGCAGAGTGGAGTAGCTGGTACGTGAGCGCCGAAGTGTTTCCTGGATGAACGTGCGCAGAGGCAAGACAGCTTTGCTGCCGAGCTCGCTGCGGCATACAACCGAGGACAGGGGCCAGATCGCTTCTACGATCTGGGTGGAAGAGTCTGCGGAAAGGGCTAAGCATTGGTTGAGTGAATCAAAAGGCAATAGTTGCCACCTACCAACAAGGCTGTCAACAAAGTTGACCTTGCGATCCGACTGTCGCACTAGAGCAGGAGGGCAACCTCGGCCCGTACGGCAGCCCGCGGCGGTACGTCTGGGGTTTTGTCGCAACTCTGCCGGGACGGCCTCGGCATCCCGCTGGTGGAGTGACCGGCGATGGTTGACGACATTTTGAGCACTTGTAGCGGCACGTTTGGAGCGACAAAAGGTGTCACTTGAGTCGGAATCGGATGTGTTGGTCGAAATGGAGGTGTCGTCGGACGATTGAGAAGCGGTATCAGACCATACAGATGTTGTAGAGATGGAGGCCACAGAACTCATAGCGGAGCTGTAAGGCGCATATTGAGAGGTAGAGGCGACGAAGGCGAGCGAATCATCCGCGTCGTACTTCATCTTGATAAAGTAGTGGTAATCAGGGTGGAGAACCGGCTTGAGTCTATGTAAGTATCAAGCCAAGTATCTGTCGAGGTTCCAGTCGCCGTAAGGCTAAGTCAACCAATAAGATCGTAGGTTACCGTAAAGCAATTCGAGAAATACCGTGGTCGAGGTACAACTAGCTCCAAGCAAACAGCATCAACCTAGCTGTCAGTGGGAGCAGAAATCCGGGGTGCAAAGAAGGCGGTTCACAGAAGAGTGGCAACAGCCGACTTTACAACAGGGATCAGACCGGTAGACGAAGCGGAAACGGCGACTGGAGTAGTAAGAATATAACTTGCAAGAGGCATTGCGACAAATGCTTCTACAGACAAGTTGGTGGTGGAGGTGATGGGAGTCTTAAGCAACGACTACCATCGGCATATAAAGAGACAACAAAAGAGAGCAAGGAGTGGAGAGGGGGGGAGAAGTCGTTTGAGGACGTATCCGTCGAAGATGAATCAGAGTGGCGACACACGATAGTTTGCGGATGATGCACTGGGCCGCGTCCGGTGACGATGCAAGTCGTGCAGGGTTCGTCGCGGTTTGGGAGTGCGGGTGGACGAAACGCAGGAACAGTGGGTGATGCAAGTGATGCGGCTCAAAGACGTGGATGAGTGTGCCTGGAACGGCGTATTTATCAAGGGCGTCGTGCGCCGGTGATGTGACTCCTTCGACGTGGCCTGGGAGGCGAGGCACCGGAGGGAGCAGTGACAACGGCGTCGAGCGTCAAAGACCGTGACGGACGGGCTGGAGGCGACGGGTGGAGTGGGTAATGGGTAATGGATGGGGTGAGGGTGGTTGAGTGGTCGGGTGCTTTGTGTGACTCGATCTGGGTTGGCGAGCGTGTCCAAGGTGTCCCCAGCGAGGTCCCAGGTGTCTGCGTGCGGTGCGGTGGCGACCGAGTCTTGCCGCGCGGGCCAAGTGGCAGCCAACGAGAGCGGACTTGGCGATTTCGGAGCGGCGAGGCAGTGACTGGATGCGTGACTGGAAAGACGGGGCCAGGCAGCCTAGAGTTCCAGCTGGACTGAGCCTAAAAAAAAATGACGGACTGCAGCGCCTCAGCCAAGATGTGGCGAAGACAAACTGACAGGGTGTGCGTGTGCTTTGGTGCTGAACTAAGCAGCCCGAGGGTTGTTGGGTGGTTGATGTGTTTGCGCGTTGCGCGGGGCGTGGGCGTGGGTGCGAGGGCCGAATGATACTGCTGTGATTAAAAAGGCTAAGGGAGTGCAAGTCGAGCAACACGAAAACTTGGTCAGCTATGGACTCGACAGCATCAATTGCGCCGTGCGATGCGTGCTGCTTCGGTCGTCCTCTGGAGAATGCCGCAAGGTACAAGTGAATGCCGCTGCGAGCGAAGAGAGACGAGACGGGCGGGCTGGTTGGTGGTGAGTCCGGCCTGGTGGTGACAGACTGTTGTTGGTGTTGGCAACGTCGAGTGCGCTCGTCAAAGACAATAGTACAAGAATGGAAACAAATGGACGTGGAAACCCGAAAATCAGATTATTAGAGCGCGCCGTGGAGTGGAGAGAAACCAGAGCAGACTGCGAGAGTCGCTGGCAACGTTTACAAGGCGTAGTTGAACTTCATCTTGACGTTGGAGTTCGATGGGGGAGAGAGAACAGAGCGCCGATGCGAGGGCCACTGGTTTTGAATGCATGGCCGGACGAGATGGCCTCTCTTTGGCCGCTGGCCGCTGGTCTCTTCTGGTTTGGCCTCTGGACTCCAGACAGCAGCGCAGCAGCGCAGCAACAGCGCGAAGCAGCCACCGCTGGATGGACCGCGAGCACCAAGGGAGGGGCGCTGCGGAGGCGGCGGACCAGGGTCTGCCTAGTGCTGCTCGCAGTTCAAAAGTGTGTTGCTCTGCTAAGGGTGACTTGTTGGCTGAGCATCCAGAAAGGAAGCGGAAGCGCGCAGCGCGCAGCACGTAGCACGGCAGCCAAGGGATGTATGAAATGTGTCAGGTACCGGCATGGGAGGTAGTCGGTACGAACACCACCAGCCGTGGCCGCCTGCAATGCCGCTACTCCCCAGTCCAGCCACGTACCCGGTACTAACCCGTCCGCCACGACCCAAGTACACCACGCATCTCGCCATCTCCCGCTAGGCGCACATGTACCTCGCGCGCGCGTGAACCATGACGAAGTACAGCCAGCAGTGACCCCTCTCGGTCTCCACTGCCTCGTTGTCACTGGTCACGGCTGGCCAATCTGCATTTCAGCAATCATTGATTGGCCCTGGCGCTCCCATAATGCCGGTCCCCGACCACCCTTCGAAGGAGCCCCCGGCCACGGTCGATTGGCCTCGCCGTCCTCGACTGCTCGAGCTCTTCCATCTCGTCCAGCGGGCGCACTAAGCCAACGCAACGCACGCCCACTTCGAGCCCGTCGTGCAGTTCGGCCGCCGTATTCCAACCCCTGTTACTTCAGGATGCTCCTTTTGGATTGGCGGCGCAGCATTTTCGCCCTCACCAGACCACACAGCTGAGGAACTGGCAAACTGGCAAACTGGCGGGTCAAGGCTGTGGACGGGTGCCCGGCATGGTGGTGGATGGCAAATGTGGCTACAGCGAGGCGTTCCTGAGGCCATGACTATGACTCTTCTCTTCCGTGGCTGCCAGACCGATACGACTCGATCCCGCCAAAAATCACCCATTTGTCCATTCGGCTTCGTCTTGGTTCCGCAGCAGTCAGGTCATTTCTCGTACTCCGTCCGTACTTCCTGGAGATTTCTGTCACATCAGCCCGGTCGCCGGCACGCCTTCGAAATGGCCACGATCCTAGACTCTGAGGCACTTACTTGTACGGGGTCAGAGACTGCCAACTGGGTAGGTTTGCAGGCTCAAACGGCAGGTATAAGCTCTTCTGTGTCATGCTTTGTTAACGGTGTTTTGATGCTGATCATGCACACACCGTTTCAAACAGTGTCGTTGAAGGGTAGACAAGTGTTGATAATCAGCAACAATACGCAGCTCCAGAAGCACAACAGCTCCCGGCGAGAAGCCTATCTGATAAGCCTTCAGTCCGTAGCATACATACTGCAGCCACTGTATTACGGCAGTGAAAAGGTCAACTGGTGCCTGTGACCCATGCACCCACTCGTTGATCTAACGATTCAGACCCCTCGACCGACGTGACCGCGAGAAGACCAAGACCGTCTGATAGGACAGACCTCAGTTGAGGATTCCAAAAGAACAAGAGTCTGGTGACGCTGCCCTTTGGCTGGCAAGCTGGTTTGCTGCCTCAGTGCCTCGACAACTTATTGGTAACTACCTAGGTAACTAATTGCTATCATTATACTCCGTAAAAGCTGGCTCGCAGTCAGTCAGGAAGCACGGGACGTGTGCAATGCCAATGACCTCACTCCACTCCAACACAACGGCGAACAAGAATACCGTAGCCACTGATGACTCCAGAGGGCACATTCCCCTCAAACATGTTACCACTGCCCCAGGCAGACAGGCCATCAGAGACACTTGACCTGTTTGCCATCTGTTGCGGTTCCACAGCCTCCCAGTACAGTAAACTGATGCTATTATTACAACTACGTATGTGCGAGCAAAATAACATAGAATTTAAATTAAAAAAAAAAAAAAAAAAAAAAAAAAAAAGGCCACAGGTGTCACATCAAACACAGAACAGCCATGCTCTGTCACTGTCATCCAGGCAGCTTGGCCAGTCACTGTCATAGCTAAGAAAGAAAATTTCCCCCCCCCCGTATTGCAAGTTCCTGGTGCGAGCCAAGGCTCTTCGATTGTGCTCCTTCCGGCCGGATACGCCGGTGTCAGGCGGCATCTCAAAAGGTCGTATGGGTGGCATTTGCATCGACTCCGAGACTCTGAGCGCTTCGGCCCAGCCTCGGGCAGAGCAGCGTCTAGTCGAGTAACTCCGTAGAATAAAGGCGCCGCGCTCTCGCCACTTGACATATCTCTTGGCACACAAAAGCTACTGCCTACTAAGAGCTAAAGGAGGGTCTCGCCGTTTTACTGAGAAGAGGGCCGCAGACGAGACGACGCACTTTTCTAAGTAGTATCGACGTTCGTGTGGCGAATCTGGGCATCAAACCCTGCTCTGCATTCGGAAAAGCGGTCGTACCCAACATTCCACGAAAGAAATAAGCACCTATTTGCTAGGGAGATAACTTGTTGCATTGCACCACTGCTAATCCCACCAACATGTCCGTTATTAGCGACCGAGTCTAGTGCCCACCATGAACCAAGGCAACAACGGCCCACGATATTACGGAGCAATCACCCGTTCATCTCGAATGCTTCCAAGCAGGTCCAAATGCCGCTGCTCACCACAAAATTGCGCAGCGCCCCACTTTCATAAGTGTGCGTGCACAATAAAGTCGCACACAAGTGAGAGTCGGCTGGCTACCCTGTGCTGGATGCCTGGCCGCTGTCGGTGTGTTATGCCTTGGTGCCTCAGGCTGCAAACTAAGCCCAAACCAGCCGAGTGCATGAATCCTCCGTGACCAGAAAACGTTGAACCTGCTCCTCGTGGTCTCTCTGCTCCGCCGGACGCTGCCTCCCCACTACGAAGTACCCTCGAATATCCCCAGCAACTTTTCGTGCACTATTACTATTCCGTAAAGTACGTCCTGTTCACGGCCAGGCCAGGCCACAGTGTCCCAGCTATCAGTAGTACACCACGGGAAGTCAGTTCGTGCGAGAATATCGTCATCCAGAAGTCATCTATCAACGTCTACCCCGGGCCCCACAGAGCTGACAATTACGTCCAAGTCGGCCTCCAAGTTCAATACTAACTGCTTCTTCATTCGTATCACTTGAATTATCAGACAGCATCTCCCACTTCACGCGATACATGGAGAAAGTGGAAACCTTGTGCAAGTGTTCGTTCTCCTTACGGAATACTGAAAAACCACCAGGGGCGAACAAGCCAAACAAACTGCTTACGAGGGGGGGATCTAATGCTAGACATGGAGGCGAAGTAGGGCTGTAGGAACATAAGGCATCGCCGTCACCCCATCTCTCCTACATCGCCCCTTGGCCCCTTATCCTAGCAGTGTGACGGCATCTTACAGTATCGGGAAATCACCATTCGGCCAAAATAGAACATTGGCGAACTGCTGCGCTTTCGCACTGCCGCGAAAATTCACACATCACACGCTTCCCCATTCTCCTTTAATCATTGGATTGTCACAGGAACTTATCGTCATTGAGTGCCATTGGGCAGAGAGGCAATCATCCCCACTTGGCTGCGGCATTGCTGATTGGAAAGGGGGGGGGGGGGTTCGAGACGGCAATCGCATTTTGTCATTTTCTGAGTCAGCCCGCGCTACGGAGTGTTGACTCCAGAATGGCGCAAGTGAGCAATCAAACCATTGAATCCTGCCAAAGTCAATGTAGCCATGTGTGTTTGGGCCGGAAAAAAAAAAAAGGAGGATAGCAGCACCAAAGCTCAATATTGGACAGCCTCGTCTGTGGCCCAAATCACCCGAAAGGGAGAGGAAAACTTTCCCCCGCCCTGGGCCGGGAGACTGTCGAGTTCGCGTTTCAGCTCGAAAGTTTCTTCAAAGAAAATTTACCCAGTTCGTTGCCTGTAAAACCCCATCCAGCCAGCGTTGGAGAGGTGGCCCGTCCATACGAAGCAAGTTACAGCCTTGTCCAGGCCTCGTCATCCACTTTCCACATCATCTCAGCCATGGTGCTGCGTTTCAGTGCATTGGCATGAGTCAACTCCAGGTAGCGGTGCCTCATTGAAGCCTTGGCCGCTCGACAAACTGTCCTTTTTTTTTCTTCTCGAGGAGGGAGGGACTGTTCCGTGTGGCCACAGGGTCATGTGCCCATTCCCGTGCCCGACGTAAGGCTATCGATGCTTAGTGCCGTGTAAGATGCAAGTATTGTAATCACGAGACCGTCATCTCCATTTTGGACCTGGGAACATGTTCGGAGCCCAATCCAATCCGTAAACTTTACATCCCGTTCCGTTGTCCAGATTCCATCATGGCGCTCCTTTCCCATTGTCAATTTTTTCCTATCAACGTGCTCGGGATGGAGGGAGTTGATCCACCCGGCCGATATCGCTGACTCATCGATGGTACCCAATATCTCATCGTTGTGAGGGCGCTGGACGTGACGGTATATCCTTGGAAGGCATTGGAATCTACGAGTCGTGACCGGGTTGTGTTGTCAGACCACAAAACTCCGAGTGGTCTCCAGTTTCGCCACGCCAGCCAGCCGTGGGAGCCATGACCTGCCTTTGCTGGCGGACTCACTAGTGTGCACTTCCAATCCTATCAAGGAAGACCGTCATTTTCATGGAGTAGATTGCAGCAAGTCGGCACATGTTCGCCCAAAGATGACCATGTCTATTTGAAACGGCCATGCTCAGCTCCCATGTCGGGATGGCTGTCTACAAGTATCAATTCCAATGCCAATTATTTACCAGACAACTATAGGGTGGGTAGCCTTTGTACTACGGCCCATACTGGTATCGCCTTGACGAGTGCAGTTCAACAGGCGTGTTCCAATCACTCCAAACACAAAACAGTCACATAATAAATGTCAAATGTATCAAAACCCAGACCCTATTGACCATCGACCATATTGAATACAAGCAAACTGAAAACTACACACACCACTTCCAATTTTGTTCATGGCTTCTAGATGAGACACGTCATTCGCGTCCAGCCCCGTCTTCCCAGCTGCTCGTAACCAGCACAATCCGCAGTACGCCTTCAACAAGCTGGACTAGTTTACGAAGCCATATACGTGCTGGCATCGACACCCTCCTTGGGAAATTCACTACAGTTCATTAGCTCATGTCAACCATCTAGATAGAGAATATAAAAAAACTTACGGTAGGGCAACTTCGAACCGCTTCTCGATCTCCTTGAGCACCTCCTGGTCCTGGTCTGAACTGACAAACGAGATGGCAAGACCCTTGGTACCGAAACGGCCGGCACGACCGACACGGTGGAGGTATGAACTAGCATCGGCAGGGAGATCGTAGTTGATGGCCAGGTTGATACGTTCAATGTCAATACCACGACCAAAAACGTCAGTGGCAACGCAAATTCTCTTCTTGAACTCCTTGAACTCCTTGTAACGTTTGATACTACGGGTTGTTAGATCTAGTCATGTTGTATCGACGCCTCAAAGGCAAGAAACAAGAAGGGGAGGGGCTTGCTTACCGCTCCTCCTGGCTCACACCAGAGTGCACAGCAATCGAAGGGAAGTTACATTCGCGCAGCAACTTGTCAAGTTCGGTGGCACGAATGGTGCTCTTGACAAAGATGATGACCTGGTTGAATTGGAGTTCGTCGAGAAGCTCGTTCAGCTTTCTGTTCTTTTCCTTCTCTTCGAGCTTGATGTAGTACTGCTGAAGACCGTGCAGAGTGAGCTTGGTGTCCTCATCGACATAGTGCTCAGTGGGGTTCTGCATGAACTTCCTGCAAATGGGCTTGATCTCATTAGCCAAAGTAGCAGAGAACATCATGACCTGCTTCTGGGTAGGGGTGGCGCGGAAGACATCCTGGACATCAGTGCGCATATCTAATCTCATTAGCAACTATCGTCTGATAACCTCATTTGGACGGGGCACACCTACCAGGCTGATCAAGCATCTTGTCGCATTCATCAAGGACAAAGATGCGAACACTGCCGAGGCGTAGAGCCTTGTCGCGGACAAGAGCCTTGAGACGACCTGGAGTACCAACGATAATGTGGGGGCAGGTGTCCTTGTTCTTCAAGGTCTCCATGTCGGTCTTGATGGGAGTGCCACCAAAGAATACACCAGTCTTGATGTCAGGCATGTACTTGCTGAATCGGTTGTACTCGTCGCGAATCTGGTAGGCAAGTTCACGGGTGTGGCACATAACCACAACCGAAACCTCTCCGTTGACGGGCTCGACCTGCTGCAAAGTAGCAAGGACGAAGACAGCCGTCTTGCCTAGACCGGACTTGGCCTGGCAAATAATGTCACCACCGAGGAGGGCCTGAGGGATACAGGTTTGTTGGACTGTCGATCGAGCGAATGTTAGATCATTGGTATTCTTCAAGCAGAAACGAACGATGTATGCAATGCGTCAAAGTGCCCGTCCGTCCACCGTCGCAGAGATGAGGCTCGGCGCGAAAAAAGAAGAACAAGTATCACGTAAAAGGAATCGAGTGCGGCGTGTCGAGGTCGTCATAGACATTCAAAATACTTCGCTTGCTTTTGCAACGCGACAATAACAAAGCCTTTCACTGGCCGCGGCCACGGACATGATACCATCTGGTCGGATGCCAAATGCTTTTCAGCCTTGATCCTTTTCGCCAACATTTCCCACACAGCTCAAGCTTCTATTGATGAGGGCAGCCGATGTCAGAAGATGCTTTCACTCCCATGACAGGATGGATGCACTCTTGCAGGCTGCCACGAGTTCATCGATGACCATGCATAGCCACGATTGACATGATCTTTTTTTTTGCAAGTCCCCATGATGACGATCCATGGCAAAAGGACTCTGACTCTCGTCTTCGGGGATTGGAAGCCCTTGCGCGCAATTTGTTCTCGTTGCGAAGATGGACGGACGCTTTGTACTTTGGAGGGAGGGGAATTGATGACTTAGGGTATTAGGATTTTCATGACTAACCCTCCGATGGATGCTCGAAACCACAGTCGCCGATAGCACGGAGGAGCTCAGGCTTCAGCAAGAAGTCGCGGAAGCCGGTCGAGTGAATACCAACATAACTGCCCTTCTTGTCGACATCGTTAGAGGCAGCGAGTTCGCCTTTCTTGCCGTTGGAGCCGGCGGCGGCGGTTTCGTTGGCGCCAATTTCCTCGTCAGAGTAGTCGATGAGATCCTCCTCGTGAGACATGCTGACAGATTTGTTGTAGGTGATCAGAAGACGTAGAAAATTCGAGAGCTGTTGCTGCTTGAGAGGTCAGGTCGAATGCGCAAAAAAAGCAAAAAGGATGCCGTTGCGCGGGCTGAGCGTTCAAAGGACCTCTAAATGTCTAGAAAATGACAATAGAAGTGAAGAGAGAAATTTGTCACAACGAGAACGTAGATGATGGATATTGACGGTCCCAATGTCCGAGGCGATGTTGACAAAGAGAGGTTGCGAGAGGCTCCCCAGACGGCCGACGAGGGAGAGAAGTGACTCGCGGCTGAGCTGCAATGCAGGCAAACTGGTCCGTGCATGACCACCACGTGACCTCTTCTCTTGCTCACTGTGCGAGCATGATTTCTGGACACGATAGTCGTGCATAGTCATGAGATGAAACGACGTGCAGCCTTGTTTCTTTCTTCTTTTTTTGGGCTCAAAGGACACAGACATATTCTGCAATTTTGGATGCGACAAAGCACCGTCAACAGGACAATGGCAAAGACAAAGGTGGACGCAGGAGTCCAGAATAGAATCATCTATTCTAGAGCGTCTTATCTCTACCAAGCGGCGAATTATCTGACGAGCTGCGCAAACGCAATTCGAGATGCTCCATGCACATCAGACGCAAAGCAAAGTGCTTCGGCAAATATGGACAAACAATACAAAGCAATCACAAACATGTCCCGCCAGGCAATTACCGATATGAGGGCTATTTCTTTAAAAGCACAAATTCGACAAAGCTCAGCACTAAAAAGAACAATCTGCAAGTTTTGCGACTCGCTGCTGGTGGAGGGACAGACATCCCATTCGTTCATTCAGAATCCTAGCAAAGGGGGCCGCAAGCCCTGGGCAGATGTTCTCGTCATCGAGTGCAAGACGTGTGGGAATTCAAAAAGATATCTCGTCGATGCGCCACGGCAAATGCGCAAGGCCCTTCGCTTACGGAAACATGAGGTCCTCACCGATGAACAAGGCGGAGTGGCCCAGGAAGGAGAAGAGGTTACTTGAGCTTTTGAGTCTAGAGGCAATCGGGATCTGTCAAGACACGTACGGATGTCGTGACCATAGTGGGAGGCGTGTCCGCATCATTCTGCCGCTCTATCATTCCATTACGAAAAGACTATTGTGAAGATGGCGAGCAACTCATAGAGATGTGCCATATCGCGCCGAACCATCTTGGAGTTCCATTGAGCGATGATCTCAAGGCCCTTGCCGTGGACTTTGACCATACAGACATTGGCCAATAACAAGGGGTACCTGCGGCCAATAGCACACTCATTGCTGTGAAAGGCGACAAAAGACGTTAGTCGTTCCGCCGCTATCAATGTACAACCCACTAGTTACTACGTGTGGTCGTGCAATATACGCGTACACAACTTGGTAGCCCAGTTCAAATGAGAATAACGCCTATACCCCAAGCGGTAATATCGTGTCCTGAAATCAGGATTGACGGAAACCAAGCCTAGACTCCGTAGAGCGAACAACGTAATGACTCCCCCAACGCCCCAGAACCATCATGATCGTATCCCATCACAACATCACCTCGCTTCCCTCACACTCTCCTCCCCAAGAACCTTGCTAGCAGCCATAAACCTGAAGATGAATCAGCAAACAATCCCATCCATTCTCCCCCACCCTCTACTCACAGTCCACCATGCCAACTCCCCAAGCCTCTCATTGCCTCAGCCTGCACGCTCGTCATGCGCAGCAGATTCTCAGTATCTGATAAATTCGTCGATAACTGAGCAAGTTGCGACTGGAGATGAGCCTGTCCTCGATCGTGTCAGCTACGGCAACCGTTTTCCACACTTGGGTGTCGTCAGGCGCGATGCTCACCAATTGTCGGTTTTTGGCGGCGCTGCCTGCGCCCGGAGCCATGCTTTGCCGGTTCAAGTTTTGGGTTGTGCCAAAGTTTCTGGTCGCCATTTCGCGTTTTGATGTTCGTAGCCAAGGTCGACGAGTTAGTTTGGCGCGCCCGTAGGTGGTTGATGTGAGGAATGTGTCGGGGGATATCGGGAGGATGGGGCAGGACTACCCAAGGCGCCCCTGGTCGACTGGTATCGGACAGTGAATAAGTAATCGCCGTTTCCTGAGTAGTGCCGAGAATTGTTATGTCGACAAGGGGACTGACTGACTACTAGTACTGATAGTTTGTAGTCGAGTAATGTCGACGCGTCTGCGCGCCCAAGTTTAGTCTCAGTCGTTCGTCGATCAAGTGGGGCGGGCTATGGCTCTTCAACCACATCTCACATCTCACATCTCACATCATCCCACATCCCACGTACCTCTGCAACCCATAAGGTTTCCCCGTTTCCCCCAAGAGAGGGCGAGTATATTAAAGGGACGTGAGGTTGCGTGTTATGACTTACCAGGCTTGATTATGCTTGTAATGATTCCTACCGTGGTGTCTGTTCCTCCTCGTAGGCGGTGAGTCTCCTGGACGGGCTTTCGAGTCTAGATGATTTTATATTTCTACCGAGCTATGTACCTTAGCAAGTACCTACCTACCTAGGTAGGTAGGTGGTTACTTGGACACCCACACGGGTACTCAAGTACCTAGTAGTTAAACAAATCTCTGTCTGGCCATACGCAGACTAGGTTGCCTATATCAAATAGCCAGGCAGTTGTGTCAGGGGGTACGCACATCATCAGATACACTCGCACACTTCTGTCATACTTCACTGTTGCTCCAAGAGAAAGTCAATGATACCAACGATTCCTTACAAAGAACCTGACGTGTCATCGTGAAACGCTGCTGCTTTTGTTCTATGCCTGTGTTATGTTCAACTACTTATTATTCAAGCCTTCCGAACCCGCTTGAAGGATCTCTTCTTCCTCTAAGCCTTTCATTACGTCCGGGGCAGTAGCTGCCCAAAAAAGTCCTCGTCCTGACTCCTTCAATGGTGCTGTATACTCTGCAGGGCAGCTAAAATGGCCATTACCCGCGATTATTCATCTCGTCACAAAAGAGGAAGAAGAACAAGAAGAAAAAAGGATGAAACCGGCCTGAGACCATATCCCCAAAAACAAATAAACATGTGAGAAAAAAAACACAGTGTAAGAAAGAAAGGCCTCCAATGTCTAAGTTTGTTGTTGTTTAACCCGATCAAACAGGCCTGTATATGTCGCTGTACTCCCCCCCGCCGATCTGGCACACCATCAAGCGGTACAGATGTGGATATGTCTGCATGGCAACAGCAACACATGCTACCAAGCCATGAGTCGTAGTCGTACAAACAATGCTCGGCATGTTGCCGCTATTTGATTCGGTAGAGCATTCCCGGATATGTCATACAACAATCCCGTCTCCAAAAATTGCCCCCCTTTTTTTCGTGTCGCTGATGATGTATTTGCAGTCGTCTAGTAGTTGTCTTTTTTCAACAGACCATTTGCTTCGCAGCCAAACCTCATGTCGTAAGAATGCTCGATGTGGTAAAGACTGTGAGTTCGCCAGAAGATTGGATAATTGATTATATGCTAGACGCAAGCAAGAACATGAATTCCGATCCCAATGCAATATTACCTAAATGTAGACCAGTCTCTGTTTTTAGTTGCAAACATTCCCACGCTTATGTACGGGACTCATCTAGTCCGTTCAAAGAAACTATCAACGCGCCGGTGTTCCAATAACAGGCCAAGTTGATTCTGAACCGCATGTCGTATCGTTTTTTTAAAATTCGTTTGGCTAATGCCGTGCAACGTACCAAAAGGAAAAAGCCATGAGAGTTGGTGTCTCAATCGTGTAACAAGACGCAGAATAGAATGAGATGTGTAGCTTTGAAGTGGTTGAACAGTCATGAATACGAGAGGTGTAGCGCACATTCAAGATGTATTATGCCGGTATACCGGGTTCGAATTGTTGAGCACGAGTTTCTCGGCTGATTCGAACAGCGATCTGGCGGACACGGCCCCTTTAACGCACTCCGATCGAAGTCGCATTCTGGAAACTGCTCTGACTGCTATGTGCAGACTGTTCTGAGTCGAGTTCACCACTGCCCACGCTGGCGCTCGCACTACCAGTCAGACTACGAACATTTCTTGGCTTGGGTGGATTGAGGGCGCTCACCCCTATATGCTGCTCTACCTGCTGGGGGGCAACAGAATTACCCTGCCCTGGCGGGTAGCGAGGAACAGGTTGTCGGACCCCGTCTGGAGGCGAGGGCCGCCCATTCATCGAAGGTGTGTAGCCGTTAGGGGGCGAAGGACGACCACCGCGCATTGGTGGACCGTAGGGGTTGCCAGGGGATTGGCTTGCGCGACGTGGAAATGCGCCGTTCATTCCAGGTGGGCCGCCTGACCCAGGCCCGTACGGGATCTCTTCCAACCTTGAAGCTGTCAGGGAGTTTGCGCGTGAGCTACCGCCCATGGCACCTCTGTCAACATTGCCGTATCGGTTCGATGTAAAGGATAACATAGCGTCGTCCAGGATATTGTCATTCATGGCAGGGAGGTGGTTAACCTGGCTGGCGCGGTTTCGTCCAAAGCTAGGGCGGAATCGGCTGGCTCGGGACGGGGGAGGAAGGTCGCTTTCTGGGTTCCGGCGAAATTGGGACGCAGACTGGCCCGACGTTTTGCGATTTTTCCTCGACGTCACACTCATCATGTCAAAATTATCGGGGTCAATGGTTGGCGCTCCGGTAGGTGCGACAGGATCGAAGAAATCGTCGTCGTCATCATCGTCGTCGAAAACTTGCTGACTGTTGCGCATGGGGTGAGGACCTCGACGGGGCCCAGGCGGGCCACGTCTCATTCTCATTTCCTGTTCCCGCAGGGCAAGCTCACGTTGGCGAAGCTGAAGTTCCCGTTCGCGCAAGGCCATATCGGAATCTCCACCAAATGATGGTTCTTGGCCCTCTGGGATGTCATCGTACAATACTAGATGCGAAAACTCTTCCAAGTCGTTGCCATCCATTGAACCCCTTCGAGAGGGAGCTCTTGAGCCACCATTCACCGATGGCGGAGGGCGAGGGTAGCCGTTTGGCGGCCCTCCATTCATCTGGGGGGGCCGCCTCATACCTGAAGGCCCGAAGTTTGAAGAGTTCCTAGGTCGGGGTTGTCGAGGCGGCATACCGTTTCCGTTTGGCATACCGCCCATCATGGGACGATGACCCGCTTGAGAAACAGACCGGGACTGTGAGGAAGAGATTGGAGAGCCCGGGGGCATCATATTTGGCGGGGGACCTTCGCCTGGCTTGGGCCTGGAGCGGTTTACAATGTTGAGATTGTGAAGAATGGCGTATAACGTCTCAATTCGAGGAATGGGTATCTGTGATTCGCGAGCCAATTTAATGGGCGAACCGAGATACGTCTCAATTTCCATGGGACGTCTGGCAGTATAGTCTTGCCACATAATACTTTCGGGTAGATTCGGTTTCGTCATCTCATCCATTGTTCGTTCCTTGAAGTCTGGGGCGAGCTTGCAGCCATTTGCATCGGCGAGGCGCAATAGTTCGTCTATGACCTCCGAAATCATGTCCCTAACCCCAACCTTCTCCAACAAAGCAGCGTGGTTTGGCGTGTCAAAGAGGACGGAAGCGGGGTGGAATGCGATAGGGCTGGATATTTGGTTAGCTCTAGAAGGATGTGGACAAAACAGGCTAGGAAATCGCATATACTCACCCAATAACTCTTTCATATTGCTGTTGGCGAATATTTGAAGAGACCTTGCAATCCACTTGGCCAGTGCTCAATGTCATTGCCAATGCTTGAGCCATATCCTCCTGGATAGCTTGGGGTATGTTGCTGTTCCTACTGGCAGGCCCAACCCATATCTCTGTCGAGCCCTTGTGCTCGAACTCGCTTTGGCCAAGTTGTGTAAGCTCTGCTCCGGAAACAAGTGACAAAACGACATTTGTAGGGAATCGTTCTTCGAGCGCGGCTTCAACGCCTAATGTGTGGGTAGTATTTACAAGGATACACGTATGCTGAGGTGTGACAACGGAGTCGATGACGGCAGCAAGATCGTAGACATCAGGGAGTGCCTTGACGCATAAAACAACGTAATCAAATGCGCCTTCTCGAGAATGAGCGGCATCTTCAGGATTCCGAACAACTGTAAAGCGAATAAGTTTAAGAGCTAGTCACTACATTGGAAGAAGTGGGAGAAGGCAATTCAACAAAGCAGCGGGCCAATGGTTCTTACCATGACGAGGTTTAAACCGTTCGTTACCAAAAACCGGTGACCTGCAAATGTTGCGATTAGTTTTTACCCAATTCCGCTCCCTTCCTCACAGGGATTGAAGAACGTACTTGAATGAGATACCGTACTGAGCAACGTGCTCGTATCCTGATTTCCACACCAAGGTCACGTCGCAGGCATTGGTGGCCTGTAACCTCCATGATAAGAAGGCAGAAACGGGATTCCCACCAACTGAGCATATATTCATTAGCTGGCTGTCGCCCATCTCGAACGGAATCAATGGAAGACCGCTGAACCAAAAGTCTTCTCCAGCGACTGAAGGAAAAGAACGGCTCGGTAAAAAGAAATACAAACGAGTGAGGACGGAGATGTAGGAGCGGGAATGGGCGGCAGGGCCGGAAGGGCGACCAAAAGATAGGTAACAATGGACTGGCGGAACTAAAATGCTGAACCAGCGCGACAGGGCAGCATTTTCAGGCGCCAACGAACAGGGACGAGTTGAGAGGTAGCGTGCACAGAGGGCAGGACAATGACGGGAGGTGGGACAGCATACCTGATAGAATCTTGAGACGGGGCTGTATGGGTGCCATGGTTTCTGTCGTGGACCCCAATGGGGATTAGTGAGCTGTGCGAGATCTTAATCGTAGCGTTGTAATAACGAGCGGCTTGTTGCGATAGCCCTGGTCACCCTGTCCCACGAGGTGTCTGGCCTTGACTCCAGGCTCTCCGAGGATGGCGAGATGCCGGGGCTCGAGGAGCTACGTGCGAGTGCGTAATGTGGATGGGTCGACAGGCTGACGGGCGTGCAATTGCGACCGGAAGCAGGTGAGACTTGTCGAGCTGAAGCGATGGAGTGGGATAGAGTGTAGTTGGTCGGCACGCAAAGCGAGGAGAGTGAGCGGGAGCCACAGAGCCAGAGAGAGGGGGGGCGTGTCGAGATGCGACCCGCGAACTCCCAGAGTTGGCGGAGGCCGGATCGTCAGGAGGGCGGGCAGCGATGACAACCGCGAAGCCAGGGCGTGCGATCAGTGATGATGGTATTATTGGGAGCGACGATGATTGCCAGCGAATGCAAAGGCTCTGACTGATGGTTGGCCGGGTTCACAGGTCCAGGGGTCAGTTTCAGTAACGACGGGCACACGCTGAGGAACGGACGGCTGGACCAGCAATTGTTGACTGGTGTGACGAATAAAGACGAAAAGTGCCCAGTGGCGGTGGGACGTGAAAGATGGTAGTGGACGGGACGGGCGTGGGAAATTGTCTGGGGTTTCGTGGGACGATTTGTTGAACCTTGTCGGGCTGGGCACGCAAGCGCAGCCGCCAGCACACGCAACACACGCACGCGCACGCACGAAGGCACGAGATGGGGACGTCTTGGAGGCCTGGAGGAGCCAGCGAAGCCTTGAGAAGGCCTGTAAGAAGCAGTGGAACGGTGGCCGCCAGTGTCTGATGTCTGGGCCTGATGGGCAGCCGGGCCAATGTCACTGCCCCTTCCACTGTCACTGCCGCGGATGAGCAAGAAGGCGTTAATCGAGGGCGTGGGCCTTGGCTGCCTCGTGGATCCGCTGGGTAAACGGAGATGAAAACAATGACGAGAAAGGGAGGGAAGGGGAAAAAAAGAGGGGGGAACCGGCAACGACGGAGGTGCGTGCCTTCAGGAAGAAACGAAGTCGACAGAACGGGTGCTTGTGTCGAGGATTGCCGACAACGAGGCAACCGAAGAGCGAAAGGGCCGCAAGACGGTCAGAGTAGAGCCTGCAAAATAAAATTAAAAAAAAATCCGAACAAAAATTTTGTGTGCAAAATGCACACTAGCATGTGTAGTCAAGTATTTAGTGGCCTAGCTAGCACCATGTAAGTCCATGTACCCCGTTCTCCATGCGCGCGATTGCGCCGAAAGCAGTGCGGAATTTCCAGGCTAGTGGCGGCGTGTACGTACCTTGGGCCCTTGGACGCCTGTTTCCAGTGCGTTCTCAGCGCATTCGATGCGCGAAATCTGCAAGTCCTTGTACAACGACACTGCCGCAGCTGCGGCTTTGGTCCGGCAGGTGAGCGATACTTGATGCGCCACCGAATAACACGTTGGTCCGATGTACTTACTATTCTACTTCCGGCGCTCTTTCCAATTGCAGGTCGAAGCTGCGAAATTTCCGTGCAAAGCACCAGAGTGTGCACGCTGGCATGTGGCTGGGAGCAACTGAGTATACAAATCGGTTGGTGGCTCTTTTCCGCCGCCGTTCAAAATGTTTACTGTTCCGTTCAAGCGACGTCCAGGCACAGGGGCTCCTTGAACAGAGTTCAGTCCGGCCCTACTCAAACGCCCAGTTAGCAATCGGCATGGCGGTCTCGGTGACGTACTAAAGGGATGTGGTGCGGGCCAAGGGGAGGATGAGCAAAACTTTGGAGTCTCGAGGCCCCTAGAGGCCCCAGAAGCCCCAGTCAGGGACGCTTCTCGCACCGACAAGGTAACAAAACGAGTCAAGACAAGTGCTTGAAACTATTGCCAGTAATCGAGGGCAACGTTTCAAACTCATTATGAACCCTGAAAGTTCTTGAAGGGGCCGAACTGATCGAGCTGTCCTCCAATAAGGTGTACTAAAAAGGGTTTTGTGTGCAATACTGGAGCCAAGCAGTTTCCCACATCACCTTCTCATGTCTCGTGGCCCCTAGTGGAACATGACGTACCGTATTTCACTGGAATGTGTTTTCCTGTCCCAAGATTTCGAGGCCCCGGAATATTGAGACAAGAGACTTGTAGGGAGAATATGAGTACTAGTGCCGGCCGTCGAGCAACAAGTATGATTCGGGCAGGACCAGAAGGCAGCTCCTGTTCAAGTGGTGCCGAGCAACGTCGCCAGGCGCATGGATTCGGATTCGGATAGCCTTTTCCTCGGTTGCCCCTTCCAAATTACACTCTCCAAAAGCAATACTCCGTACGCCGTTCACTATTGTACATTCGTCCGAAAGAGTGTCGAAAAAGCGCCTCTTGCACCAAAATCGGAAATAATGCGACCCTGGAAGCAAATCGAAATGATGGCCTGAGCGTGGGGTGCAATTGGTGCTTCCGGAGACCTGCTGGCTCAATTCCGAAGCCTGGAGACTCCCCAACGCCTATCGTGCTCGGACTATGATTGAATAAATGGTAGACTCGTCCGGCCGTATCAAGGATTGGGCGAATGCTATGCTCCGTACCCGGATGCCAGTTGGTCAGGCCTGCGTGATGAGAAGGCAGCCACAGCCCACGGTGGTGATGGCCGAGCAACAGGAGCAACAAGAGAAACAGGAGGGTGGTGGTAGAAAAGGAAAAAGGAAAGGAAAGCTTGCAAATGCGATGAGGAGAAGGCCTACTCGGGAAGAAACAAACCCGCAGTCGACACTTTTAAGTGAATGATTTCTCTCTGTCAAGTGGAAGGGCCACTTGCAGGGCAAGGCTGCACCAGACAGCTTCGTTGAATACGAGTCCTTACTTCTACCTGATAAGGTGCCAAGTAAGTTACCTACCTAGGTACCTAGGTACTCAGGCTGCCAGGCATGTCTGGTATTCGGACGTGAGACTGGACTAATATGCATCTCCCTTCCAAGACAGTCTTGGAAAGGGAGGATGGGGGCCCTGAACATAAGAAGGGAAAGACCGACCGCGATGAATTCAATAATGCGGTGGCATAACTCACACATGGCATATTGTCAATACGATGTGCTTGTAGGGCAGGGCATAATACGGAGTACCGAGTCTGTAGAGCACAATTGATTCACAATCTGTTTTGTGAGTCCCAGAGCCATGACTCCCCGTCTCCTCCACCTTCATCATCTCTGCTGTCAACTCACGACGCCGAATGCCGATGCCGATTTTATCTTGTCTTTTGTCTTTGTCTGGTGCTTGGTGTTCAATGGTGTTCAGGAGGAACGAAACCTGGCCCGTGCCATGCCACAGGCACACATGCAGCCACAGCGAGGCCGGTTTGTATGACGGGCAACACATGTGAGGTGCGAGGGCCGTTTGAGTGGAGGAGCCTTCCATCCTGCCACATGCACAAAAGCTCGTGATGGCCCTGTCAACGCCTTGGACGGCTATGAACACCGGTCCATGTCATCATTTCCCACGCGACGTGGCTGGCTCGTTCGATTCCGCGTCAGACTCTTTGAAGAAGCTTACTGCACAGAGCACACATCGGAGCACTACAGTGTATGCCGGCTCTTCCGTGCAAACTCACCACGTCTGCTGCGCGACGCCTCTCGGATGCACCGCGGTAATCTGCCAGAAGATGGCTTGCCCTGCCCGGCCCCGGCCCTGGTCCTGGTCTTGTCACCCACCGCGGTTTGCAAACAGGATTCCATGTTCCCAATTCGGGTACCTGTTGCCGTCAGGCACTAGTACAGTCTATCCGGATATGACCCACTGTGGACCTTGGGCTGCCAGCTTTTGCCAGCCAAAACAGCGTTACGGCTGGTAATCCACTGGATTGGATATTGGATAATGGATATTGCGGCTCGCTCCTCCATAATACAATACATACATAAGTAAGTATGTATCATATGTCTTAGCATTGGTTGGTCGAAAGAGCACGGCTAGAACATATCGGGGCCCGTTTGTGCCCGTTGGCAGCAACTACCTTCTCCACGCAGCGCCAACCTCATTTCAGATTGGGGGCTTTGGTCTATTACGCAACTGACCTATCGCCGAATGGCGAAGCAGGACCAAATCGTACAAAAAACCCCCACAGAGTGAACTGATACTAAGGAGAAACGGCACATAATATCAGCTACTCGACTAGTACTATTGGTCAAGGGAGCTGTCGGAAACGGGACAGCAAATCTCAGCGAGACGATTGTCGGTTTGCGCCCCTCAATCTTGCTGTGCTACGTTATGCGGATGAAAGTTGAGAACTGAGCTATGTCAGTAGTACTGGAGGGATTCGCACTCTCAGCATGTCACGGAAAACAGGGGAGCCCGCAATCCAAGATCGGCCATTTGCTACATCAGCCGAGAGTGTTGCGCTCACTCATAACATGTCGTGTCTGTCATGATCTATTTCTGATCGTCGACAGGGTGCTTGGCTGCAAGAGTTCACTGCCGCGAGGGGTTCATGGGATGGCGCACCCCTATTGACTGGTTCAAATCATCCATTGGTCTGAGGCCTGAATGCATTTATGTGGCTTGATAGCCCTCTTGTGCTGTATCTGGCAGACATGGAACCAACGAACTGGACATGCAGGCGTCGCCAACCAATTGGAGGCAGGCACACCTACAGCCGTTCATGGATACTGATAAAACTGCAGCGTTGTTGTTTGTTACCTTGAGGACTTTGGGCAACGGGCGGGCGAAGACAATTCCCTCGCAGATACGTACATACGGGGGTAAAATTAAGATTCCACATATGGAGCAGTACACCATCTCTGATCCTCATGCGCAATCAATCACCTTTCACTCACCTGCATGCGGTAAATATCGCCAGACATGGTGACCACCAATTACGAAGACTACGGAGAATCCCCCCTTTCCCCCCAAATTCAAAATTAGTGTGGGCAGGCCTACCATATCTTCTCCGGGTTTGATGATTTCGGATGATTGACACTCTACTTCTTCATTTCA